CCACCCGCGAGACAGAGCAGGCGCCCGACCGACTGCGGACACCTAGTCGAGCGCTGAAACTTGCGCTCTAATTGTAGCCATGAATGAGAACGGACTGCAGCGACCTGACCGATGGCCCGCAGTCGATGGCGCGGGGCTGCAGCCCCGCCAGCCTCAGGGTCGCCCGCAGGTTGAGTGACGGTGCCGGCATCCCGACAAGTTGGCATCCCAACAAGTTGGAGAGCTGAAAGATGTTACACGACAGCCTGGCAAGGGCGCTTCTCTTGTGCATGTGTGTCTTTCTGTCGTGAATAAAGAAAAAATAAATTACAACATCTGGGGAGAAAATATGGCAGGAAGCTGACTTTTTTTAGGGTGTGGGTATAACAACTTAGGACTACCGTTAATTATAAACGGAACTTCATTTTTTTTTTCTTTTTTTGGCGAGATTTTCGCTATAGGGCGCGTGCGCTCGCCAGACAGAAAGAGACAGAGACAGAAAGTGAGAAATCACCCCCCCAGGGGGGTGGCCATGCCGCAATCCCTTCTCCTCCATTCTCCTCTTGGGATCCTGGGCACGCACGCACACGCGCCCTGCGTGAGTTTTAAGCCACTGGGTCCCGTTGTCGACTACCGACTACGTGGGAGTCCAGCGACATAGCCATTATGCCAACTGCTGGTCCCTGGAACTTCATCTTTCAAGGCACTTTCCAGATAAATTAACATCTTTGCCACGCTGAGAAGGGGGAAAGAAAGACCGACTGTAAGAAACCAACAAGATTATGAGCATGGCCTAGAAGCACTCAAACCACACACTTTAGTCAAGTTTTAAACAACGTTCCAAATGGCCATTCAAACAGCAATTTAGTCATCTGATTTAGGCACTTACTAGCTACCAAAATTATTAAAATTCATACAAAGTATTGATGGGAGTGTCCAGAAATTCACTATCGCAGGAGGACTTTTAATCTTTTTAGTTTCTCTATAGGGCACTTGCATTTGCCAGAGAAAGAGAGAAAATGGAAATGCCCTAAGTCCCTTCTCCATTGTCCTCGGGATTTGGGGCTTGTACAAGTACACTCCTGGTGTGTGGGGGGTTTTTTTTTTGGTAATATACTTTATTTTTTATTTTTAAATATTTTTAATTCATTCATTCATTCATTCATTCATTCATTCATTTTAATTTGACCAGAGAGAGAAGAAAGTGAGAAAGCAAGCCACCAGGTCCAGGACTTCAACCGTGGTCAGCCATGTGGGAGTGTCCAGCACCTTAACCACCACGCCACCTGCTGGTCCCTCCTAGTGTGTTTTTCAAGCTGCCTGGTCTGGGACTCAAATCGCGAAGTCAGCCACCTTAACTACCATACCACCTCTTGGCCCAGTGATTTTTATTTATTTGTAAGCCAAAGCACTGGTGTTGAGGAAGGGGGAACAGCTGCATTCTCCCTCTTACAATCGAAAAGAGTCATTTTTATTTTTCCTTGCCTTGCTGTGCCCTGCCATTCACGTAGTAAAAATCCCCACCAGCTCTCAAGGCACCCAGTTTGAGGGTGCAATGTGTTTAACATCACTGTCAAGCAGTAAGAAATGTCTCTTACCCAGGACACCTCCCGAACATCGGAGTGAAGTGAGTAGAGCCGAGCAGTATACACCCAGCAGAACCTCTGCATATTTGGATTTTTTTTTTTTTTTTTGCAAGGTTTTGGCTATAGGGCATGTGCGCTTGCGGGAGACACAGAGGAAAGTGAGAAACCACCCCCCAGGGGCAGGGCCACACCACAGTCCCTTCTCCAGTCTCCTGGGATTTGGGGAGTGCACACAGGTGCCTGGCATGATTTTCAAGCGCCCTGGTCTGGGATTCTAAGACGCCATCCACCTGCTGGCCCCAATATCTGGATTTTTACACGCAGCTGCCCTTGCAGTCGGGAAGAGGAGGCACTCGTTGGAAACAATGATTCCAGGACTCCCTTTCTTTCCTTTTTTTCTTTTGAGAGGTTTTCGCTATAGGACACGTACGCTCGCTGGAGAGAGACGGAAAGCGGGAAATCACCCCGGGACCGCCACCCGCAACCCCTCCGTTGTCCGGGATGCTTGCCCGCGGGTTAGGCCGCCAGCCCGGGCTCCCCGTTCCGCCTCTGCCGGCGCCGCACGCGCCTCCCTTTCACGTCAGCGCGTTCCGAACTGCAGAAGTGGAAGTGTCAAAGCGGAACTCTAAACCATTTAAATTGTGGGGCGCGACTTGGGAACAAGTCACGGGAGCGCGGGCACCTTCCGGGGCCGGAGA